TCTACCGTACGGTTAGACTGTGCTTTCTACCGTACGGTTAGACTGCGCTTTTTACCTTACGGTTAGACTGCGCTTTCTACCGTACGATTAGACTGCGCTTTTTACCTTACGGTTAGACTGTGCTTTCTACTGTACGGTTAGACTGTGCTTTCTACCGTACGGTTAGACTGTGCTTTTTACCTTACGGTTAGATTGCGCTTTCTACCGTACGGTTAGATTGCATTTTCTACCGTACGGTTAGACTGTGCTTTTTACCTTACGGTTAGACTATGCTTTCTACCGTACGGTTAGACTGTGCTTTCTACCGTACAGTTAGAATGCACTTTCTACCGTACGGTTAGAATGTGTTTTCTACTGTACGTTTAGACGGTGTTCAGCCGTACAATTTAAGTGGTTTTTTTCTTACTGTATGGTTCTTAATGCGGAGAAGATTGTGGTAAAGCAGAGGACCTTCAGCAAGAACAAAGAATGAAGAAGGATCATTTTAGAGATTTAAAATAATCAAATCTCTGCACAAGCTGAAGTCCTGTCATCAGTTATTTTAATAATGTGTTGTACAAATTATAATAACAATTATTATTTGGTAAACAAATAATAATAATGCCTTCTTATAAACAGTTGTTTATTATTAAAAGTAATTTATTTGTCGTTTCAGAGTCAGAACTTGATTTTTGTTTCCTAATAGGGCCTACAGCCACTGGAGGGTGCTGTCCAGCTGTGTTCACATCACATCTGGGTTCTTGTGCTCTCTTCCTGTCCTGAGCAGATCCAATAGCTGAGTTTGTTCTTTAAAGCTGCTCTGAATATAATACAGAATATAATAACTTACAAAAACATTTTAGTTGCTTATTTCATCCTAAACTTGATTGTTGAAGCTGGTTGCAGTTCTGCAGGAGTTTCTGATGACCTCAGCACCTAAACCTGCTTTAAATACTGATTCTGATGTTAATCATTTGATACAACAAAGTGTTTCTGTTCATCAGAATCTGCTGGTTTGTGTCTGCAGAATAAATTTAGAGCAAATAATTATATTAATGAAGTTTTAGTGGAGCTAATTGTTGATTTGATGACAATCCTTCAGCGTCAGCAGCTCCTCTGTAAAAAAGCTTTTCCTGAGGATGAAACGACTTTTCTTTCTTCTCTTTGACACGTGGATCTTGTATTAACAACTGCTGTTTTAGTTCCTCTTGGGTTTAAAAATATCAGCTTAAAACACCAAATGTGGTGAGAACAGATTTAATCTCCTTTCTATTGATCAACACCACTAAAGGAATAACTCCCATTAGATATTTGTCCAAAATATAAAATCCACTTTGAACTGATTTGTTGTCAGAGAGGCTGAGTGCTGACATCGGTACGGTTTAATCGGGTTTTACTGGAAACTGATCATCTGTTGACCAAAAGCCAAACTGTTTCCCGTCACTTACAACATTTATGGTGTCTCTGTGTATTCCTGTAGTCACGTCCTGCTGTGTATGGCAGATGTTGGTGTGAGCAGAAACATTTTGGTCTGAATGGGTCTAAAGAGTCCAATCAAAGATCTGATAATTAAACTGGAGACCTTCGAGTTCTCCTTTATGTCCATCTGTTCCTCCATTTCATTAAAAACCGACCAGAGTCCAGACACAGCCGAGCATCAGGACCAGAACTCTGTCATTAGACTAGAAACATGAGCAGAAAACTGTTTTGGTTCGAAGTCGCCTCAGGAGGTTCTTCTACAGACATGAATGGAAGTCCTGATAAGAATAGAAGTACAAACGTGTGTGTGTGTGTGTGTGTGTGTGTGTGCGCGCAGCATCTGATCCTGTCCCTTTAAAGGGTTTGAACGGGCTGTGATTGGACCAATGGTTCTGCTTCAGGCTCTTAAGATGTCCTGTTGCTCCCCAGCAGCAGGTATCTTCTGCCCCCTGACAGATCAGAACCAGCATGAGTTCAGGTTCTGACCCTCTAGCTGTGAGCAGCAGGACTCTGTCTGCAGCCAAGAGACACAAAAGTGTCCGGAAGAACTCCAGGAGGATTTATTCAGCCTATCAGGGGTGAGTTGGACTCAGTTTTCTACACTGATCAGAACTTCTTTTTGTGTCCGGTTTGGATTCTAATGGACTTCCTGCTGCTCCTCTTCATCGCTCAAAGCTCGTCCATGCGTTTAAAATCTGCTCCATGGGTTTGGACTTTTAAAAACGATGGTTCTGATTTTATCAAGTGAGGGGGGTCAATGGTGACCCCAGGTCCAATCTGGGGACTGAACCCAGGACCTTCTTGCTGTGAGGCTACAGTGCTAACCACTGATCCATCATGCTGCCCAACAAATTTAAATTTGAGGTAAAATAAAAAAAAAAATTTGAAAATTTCAGTCCCCATGAAAAAGAACCTGGTCCAAACCCAGTGTCCTCAGCATCAGGTTTTCTGCAGAATATTTGTTTCCACATTTTGCAAAGAACAGGACTCAGGAGGTTGAGTAGAGCTTTTCTCAAAGAGAAATAGAAACAAACCGTCTCAGGAGAGTCTGACTCCCATATTGCTTTGACAGCCTGAGGTGTCCCTGCTCCTGTAAGGAACATAAAGAAAATCGATTTCTGTTTCAGTTTGGTGCCTCGTGGCCCCAGAGCCACTGGTTGCAGACCCCAGAGTCCTGAAGTTCTGCACCCGTTCTTTGTTCCCCTGCAGCTCGTCAGATGACGAAGGTAAAGATGATGAGGGGGTGGACAGCAACGACCCGGAGGAAATGTTCCAGAACATTCAGTACCAGAAGGAGATCATCGCCAACATCCGGACTCGACCGTGGCCCATGAGACGCAAACTCAAAGTCCTCAAGTAGCTCTTTGTTCCAGTTTGGTTTGTTTCAGCTGCTTTTCCCTCCTCGCACACACACACATGCACACACACTCTTTAAGTGTGTGTGCATGTGTGTGTACACGTGTGTGTGTTAGTTAAACAACCCTACAGCAAACTGTTATGTTATGCAAATTAAACACATCTAACTGGATTAATATTAATTTCCTGTTTGTGTTCAAGTACTTTTTTTTTTTTATCAGAACCAGTCCCCCATTCCACCAGCAGCTGGGTTCAGCCTGCAGTTAATCCCATTAAATGATAAAGTTAATGAGACTTAGAGAACGAAACAGCTGCATTTATTCAGGCATTTGTTAAAAAATAATCACGGCTATAAGGTGTCATTGGTTTAACACGAATGTTGTTACGGTAGTTCAGCTGTGAGAGCGTGTGCAGGACCGGAGCACACTAACTGTTTTCAGAGAACCACCAGGCTGAGGCAGAGTAAATCCACTCAGATGTGCTGACTTTGTGCCGTGGATAACGGATTTTATACGAGCGAGATGTTATTGCTGCAGAGCTTTTATTACCTTCATCAGGGATGAGCTGCAAGTCTGCGCTTTTACACCCAGACTCATCATAGGCCATTACTCAGGAACCACTCTCTGTTAGTAAAATATTTATTTTATTCGTTGAATGGGAGCTCAAATTTATGACTAAACCAGCGAGGACATTAAAATGAAATTGGTTTGGTTTTTAGAGTTCTGCTAAAACGATCAACCAGTTTCACCTCATGGGCCGTACAGCTAACGTTTAACTGAGCCGTTATCGACCCGTTACTGACTGTTCACTGACCCGTTAATTCAATTCAGGTTATTTCTAGATCTCCAAGTCCCAGCAGAAGTTGTCCAAGGGCACTGTACAGAAACATTCACATACATTACAAAAGCCAATTAATAAAAGTTCTCTATCTAAGGAAGCCAGTAGATTGTGTTGGATCTTCACTTTGTCGCAGTCTCACATTGTGAACAAGCACAAAGGCAACAGTGGAAAGGAAAAACTCCCTTTTAACAGGAAGACACCTCCAGCAGAACCAGGCTCGTGACGAGCGGCCGTCCGCTTCGACCAGCTGGGTTTGAGAGGACAGGAAGTAGAAACAGACAAACACAGAACGACAGGTCCAGGTGTACTTTCTATTGGAGGAAAGTAAAAAAAACAACCAAAAAAAACACGTTAAGGATAGAAATAATTACAAACACAAACCGAGTAGAGCAGGTAAAGAGAGCAGCAGAGTGAGGAAATGAGGTCAATTTGTCCTCCAGCAGTCTAAGCCTATAGCAGCAGAACTAAGGGATATCTCAGGAAACCCAAGCCGACCAATTTGTCCTCAGATACTGATTTATCTGACCAGTAACTAGATTGTTTACTGACAATTACTGTTTATTGACCCATTACTGACCGATTACATAAAGAATGATTATTACATAGAATAAGTATCATGGAATATTTTAATATGTACATTGACAATAAAAGAGCAGTGAAAATTATGGAGCTTGGTGGGTACAAATAATACACAATCCCTTGACATCGTTTACTTACCCATTACTGACTGTTTACTAACCTGCTACTGACCAGTTACTGACTGGTTACCAACCAGTCTGCCCTTACAGGGCGGCTGTGGCTGAGTGGTTAGAGCAGTCGCCCTCCAATGCAAGAGTTGGGGGTTTGAATCCACCAGCAGTCACATGCTGAAGTGTCCCTGGGCGAGACACTGAACCCCTCATTGCCTTCGCTGTGTGTCCCATCGGTGTATGAACGTGATCTAAAGCACTGATTAGTCTCTTTAGAATGATTTGTTCAATTAACTCTTGAGATGTAGTAGAGTGTTGCATGAATGGGTAAATGAGGCACAGATTGTGTTGTAAAGCGCTTTGAGTATCTTGATAAGATAGAAAGGTGCTATGTAAGTGCAGTCCATTTACCATTTACAGGTTTACTGTATTGGTTTTAGGAACTAGTTAATCCTTTTTTTATCCGTGAATCAGGTGGCATTATTGAATTGTGTTTTTGCTTCCAGGCAGGCGAGAGTGATCGTCCTGAAGTACGAAGGCCAGCTGACAAGAACCAGAGGGTACCAGACGGCTGGAGCTGATGTATGTATCCCCGTTTATACCCAGAGATTATCTTCAGCAGGAAGTAACAATCATCTTGAACAGGAACGCTACAGACTCAGGTCCAGACTCCGTAAGACTGCACACAGCTCCTCATTTTTGCGTCATTTTCTGCTCCTTCGTTGCGTTTTCTTGACAAAACCAACGGTTCTGATTAGATGCTGCACAAACGCACCTGTCAGTTCAGCAGGTGAGAGTAGTTCGCTCTCTTTGGGCAGCAGATGTTCATCTCAGGTGTCCTGCTGCTCATTCTGAATAGAACTTTCAGCCACAAACATAGCAGGAACAGAAGTGACAGGAAGAGATTTTTTTTATTTTTTCACGGAGCTACAAATCTCCATCACTCACGTGAGCAAATCTGAGAAATTTAGATTTATTGGTTTTTAAGAAACTGTGATGTATAAAATAAATCGGGAAAGATTCATGTTTTTTCAGATTCTGTTTACATTTTGTTTCTTATCCAGACTTTGAGAATACAAAGAAACTCCAGACTGTCCTGTTTTTGAGACTGCAGAGGAAGGCTGAGGGTTTGACCTCTCAGACCTGATGGTCGGGTCGAAGTGTGACCTAACTACCAATCGTCAGCAGTGCCGGCACAGGTTTTACATTTAGTTATTAGGTTCTCAGAGATCTTTTCAGTAGAACAACTCCATGATGGTGAGCAGTGGTGAGAGGAACACTAGGAAAGTGGCAGCTGGTTCAGGCGTCTCCCTCCCCCCTGGACTGTTTGAAGTGTATTTATCTCCGCGACAACATGCTGACGAGGGCTGCTCTGCACTGCAGACGCTCCATGAGCTCAGAGAGCAAGATGTTGGAATAAAGCTGCTGACGCCTTTCCTTCCACTGGAAGTACAACGTTTCTCTGTGACAGACAGACAGGCAGCTGCAGACAGACAAACAGAGAGACAGGCAGCTGCAGTATCATGGATGAATGAGTGAATTTATAGCCTTATTTTATCGTTCTGTTTAATTAAAATGTTTCAGCTGCTTTGCCTCATTTGAATAAATTAAGTTTTATTAGTAAGAGACACAATGAGTTATTATTAATGTTTTATCTCCTTGTTAATTAAAAATGTGACCTTCTCCTCATTAATGACCATCAGCCGTAAAATAATCTGAACGAGACGAGGTGCCCTAAAAGTTCACGTTCTAGTTCCATCTGTGTTCAGACGTTCTTGTGTCTCGGTGTTCTCCTCGTCTACAGCTGCTGAAGAAACTTTACCGTCTGCTGAACAACATCGTTGTGACCTTCATGCCGTGGGAAGTCAGGATCAAAAAAATAGAAAGTGAGTCATTTGTTGTTGTTGTTTTCTAATGTCCCCACACCCCTTCAGAGGTGCAACTGTGCTCTGAGCACTATGGTTTTATTTTATTTCAGTTATTAAGGGCGCCGAAGCAGCTTTTCCATTTTTCCTCTGTTGTCAGGAGTTTAAAAGGAGCTCTGACTCCACGCACATGTTGGCCTTAATATGTTATTTCCCTTTCTACTAAAGGCATCTGTTATTGTGACACCTGGAAATATGTAATTACGTAATAAATTGTACGTTTACTGGATTTTTCAATTATGAACGTTGTCATTATTTTAACAATGCAATGCATTGCGGGACGATGATGTTCAGAGTTTGCAGTGAAGGTTCGAACGCGAGGAGTCGAGGTGGAAAAAGTTGTACAGCGGTGCTCTAATTGTAATTGTAATTGTAATTTGTAATTGAAAGTTTGTGAAGCCTTTAGAATTTTCTAAATTTCTGCATAAATATGACGTACGACATCATCACATTTTCACAAAAGTCCTGAAAGTAGATAAAGAGAACCCAGTTAAACGAATGAGACAAAAATATTAAACATGGTCATTTATTTATTGAGGAAAATGACCCAATATTACATATTTGTGAGTGGTAAAAGTATGTGAACCGTTGCATTCAGTATCTGGTGTGACCCCCCACTGTGCAGCAACAACAGCAACTGTTTCCAGTAACTGTTGATCAGTGCTGCTCACCGGCTTGGAGGACTTTTAGTCTATTCCTCTGTACAGAACAGCCTCAACTCTGGATGTTGGTGGGTTCCTCACATTAACTGCTGCTTCAGGTCCTTCCACAACATCTGGATTGGATTAATGTCAGGACTTTGACTTGGCCGTTCCAAATCATGAACTTTATTCTTCTTGAACCATTCTTTGGTAGCGCAACTCAGGTTGTGCTTAGGGTCATCGTCTTGCTGCATAACCCACCTTCTCTTGAGATTTAGTTCCAATGTCCTGACATTTTCCTGTAGGATTCTCTGATATAATTCAGAATTCGTTGTTCCATCAATGAAGACAAGCTGTCCTGACCCAGATGAAGCAAAACAGGTCCAAACCATGATACTACCACAACCATGTTTCACATATGGGATAAGGTTCTTCTGCAGGAATGTAGCATTTTCCTTTCTCCAAACATAACACTTTTCATCCATCCATCAATTATCTTTTACCCACTTTTTCCATTTTGGGTCACGGAGGTCGCCGGTGCCCATGTCCAGCAATCACTGTGCGAGGGGCGGGGTACACCCTGGACATGTCGCAAGTCCATCACAGGGACACATAGAGACAAACAACCATTCACTCTCTCATAACACTTTTCATTTAAACCAAAAAGTTTTATTTTGGTCTCATCCGTCCACAAAACATTCTTCCAACAACCTTCTGGCTTGTCCATGTGAACTTTAACAAACTGCAAACGAGCAGCAACGTTCTTTTTGGAGAGCAGAGTCTTTCTCCTTCAGCCCTGCCATTCACACCATTCAGTTCAATGTTCTCCTGATGGTGGACTCATGAACATTAACATCAATGTGAGAAAGACCTTCAGTTGATTTGAAGTTACCCTGGCGTCCTTTGTGACCTCATTATTCCACGCCTTGCTCTTGGAGTGAACTTTGTTGGTCCGCCACTCCTGGGGAGGGAAACAATGGTCTTGAATTTCCTCCATTTGTACACAATCTGTCTGACTGTGGATTGGTGGAGTCCAAACTCTTTAGAGATGGTTGTGTAACCTTTTCCAGCCTGATGAGCATCAACAACTCTACTTCTGAGGTCCTCAGAAATCTCCTTTACTGGTGCCATGATACACTTCCACAAACATGTTGTGAAGACTTTGATAGATCCCTGTTCTTTAAATCAAACAGGGTTTTCCACTCACACATGATCATCATCCCATCGACTGAAAACACCTGACTCTAATTTCACCTTCAAATTAATTGCTATCACATACTTTAACCACTCACAAATATGTAATATTGGATCATTTTCCTCAATAAATAAATGATCTAGTATAATATTTTTGTTTCGTTTGTTTAACTGTCCCTATACAAGCACTAGAACTAAAGAGTTTGGTCCACATTACCAGCAGTAAGTTGGACCCCTTCAGGGTGGGAGTTGGACTTCAGGGCTGCCCGTTGTCACCGATTCTGTTCATAACTTTTATGGACAGTGCAGCCAGCTGAGCGGACAGAGGGCGTCTGGTTCGTTGGCCTCAGGATTCTGTCTCTGCTATCTGCAGATGATGTGGTCCTGTTGGTGTCAATGAATCATGATCTTCAACTCTCACTGGAGCGGTTCTCAGCTGAGTGTGAAACAGCTGGGGTGAGAATCAGAATTTTAGGAGCTGAGATCATGATCCTCAGTCAGAGGGAAGACTGTCCTCTCCAGGTTGTGGGTGCAGTTCTGCCTCAAGTGGAGGGGTTCAAGTATCTTGGGGTTTTGTTCACGAGTGAGGGAAGAATGGAGCGAGAGATCCACAGACGGATTGGTGGAGCTTCTGCTGTATTGTGGTGTCTGTTCCAGTTTGTTTTGGTGAAGAAGGAGCTGAGATGTAAGGAGAAGCTCTCTGTTTACTGGTCAGTCTGCGTTCCTACCCTCACCTATGGCTACAAACTCTGGGTAGAGACTGAAAGAACCAGATCGTGGATCCAGGAGGTCTAAAAGAGTAAGTAAAGACGGTAGCAGAGTGAAAAGTGTGGTCAGTTTGTCCTCCAGCAGCCTATAGCAGCATAACTAAGGGACAGCTCAGGAAATCGAGTGAGAAGTTCAGTTCTCCAGCAGAGACTCAGCGTAGAACTGCTGCTCCTCCACATCTAGAGGAGATGGCTGAGGTGGTTCAGACATCTGATAAGGATGGACCCTGGACACTGCTCTAGGTAGGTGTTCTGGACATGTCCAACTGGGAGGAGATCCCAGGGAAGACCCAGGCAAAGTCTGGGAACACCTTGGAGTCCTCCCAGAAGAGCTGGAAGAGGTGGCTGTGGAAAGAGATGTCTGGACCTCCCTGCTAAAACTGCTACCCCGAGTCCAGGACCAGATGATGGATAGATTGATGAAGGATGGATGGATGGAGGATGGATGGATGGATGGACGTCAGTCTTTGTCATAGCTCAGAATATTGCAAAGGAAGTTGATGGATGTTGGAGTTTTACTCTTCAACATTTCAGGAGAAACATTTCTCATCTATGAAAGAACTCATGATGCGAGTTAAATAAAATTAGAGAATAGAGTTGTGTTACTGTCGGTGTTGAAAGAGTTTTTATTTTTTACTGTTTCATTCTGAGTTTCATGTTTCTTCTTTATTGGGAAGGTCACTTTGGATCTGGTGTTGCCTCCTACTTTATCTTCCTGCGCTGGCTCTTTGGGATCAATATCGTCCTCACCATAATGACCGGAGCCTTTGTCGTCCTGCCGGAGGTCAGTGAGTCTCTCAACGTTTTTTATCACGAAATAATTCACTTTACAGACGGATTTAAAGCTCAGTTACTAAGTAGAGGTTAGTGATCTGTTTCAAATGTTATCCGATTAAAAAAAATGCAAGAAGCAAATGGATTTTTCTAAGGAAAGTTGATTTTTGTGAGCATTTGAAACAATTCTTGATAGAGGAAGCTCCAAACAGAAGGATGGATTTATTAGAAACAAGTCATTCCCTCAGATGTGCCTCCTGCTGTTCTTCTCCCAGCCTTGTCTCCTTCCCTCATTTCTCTTTTATGTCCTCTGCACACATCCCACCTTTCGCTCACCTTTGTGGGTAAAATCCAGCTACATATAACAGACTTGAGCTTGTGTCGCATATTATGTCTGGATGAATCATTTGAAGAAAGATAAAAACCGGACTCAGAGCGCCTCGGTTTGACCTCACAAAATGACTTAGACTTTTTCTGTTCTTCCATCCCTCAGTGTGACTGATGACTGATAATAACCTGTTCCTGTATGTTGCTCTGAACAAACTGTAATTGCCTTTAGCCACAAATCATTTGAACTCTTTACACCGTTTATCTGAAATGTCTCAGATTAGCAGCTGAGAATCAAACTCAGTTTTTTTATTCAGCTTCCAAAAATAAACTCACAACAACTCGTTAACAAACCAGCAAAAGATGGATGGTTCAATAAAACTTGACCGTCTCAGTTCAAAGAATATCACTAACATGATTGTAGAACTGTACCAATGTGTTTCTGAGAGCCTGCACTGACCTGACATGTTTCTGTCTCTGGTGTTTGCGTGTTTCTCTGCTGTGCACTGGCATGTTTGAGACACGACACGTTTATTTATCTGCACTAGTTGCTGGCCGGAGCTCCGTTTGGAACAACCAGAAGTAAAACGATTCCCAAGGAGCATCTACCATCGGCTCAGGACTTGGACACCATCTGGTCTCTTGGGGTAAGCGATCACGTTTTTAACGATGGATCAATAGCACATTACCTGGAAACACAATGGATCTTTATTTAGATGCTGACCTGGGATCAGTTTAATCCTCCTCTCTTTCAGGTTAAAGACAGAATGATGCGTTCAGCTGTGAATCCTTAATTCTAAATATATGTTTAATTTAGCACCATTGTGTTTATAGATGTACTGGAAATCTGCCTTTTCCTGGTCATATTTAACCTTCATTCATTTCTTGTCCTCCTCAGGGGTACCTGCAGTACTCAGTACTTTTTTACGGTTACTACGGCAGGATGAGGAAAATCGGCAGCGCCGGCTACCGCCTGCCTCTGGCATACTTCCTTGTTGGGATGGCCGTGTTTGCCTACAGTTTCATCATTCTGTTACGAAAGTAATCTTTAGTTTTTCATCGGCACACTGATGGTTTGTTAATGTGCCTGAGGGTTTCAGCTCGGGTCCATTTCTACCACTCGTTTATGCAGAATGGCCAAGAACTCTCGTCTGAGTCTGGCCAGTGCTTCTGATGAGAACTTCACCTTCTGCTGGAGGATTTTCTGTGCGTGGGATTACCTGATAGGAAACCCAGAGGCTGCAGAGTGCAAAGGAGCAGCCATCGTCAACAACATCAGGGTCCGTGACGCACACAGATGATAAATAAACGTGAAGTAAGGATTTGCTCTTAACGATGTTATGTTTCTGCACAGGAAGCCATTGTTGAGGAACAGGAGAAGAAGAAGGACACCAGTCTGTAGGTTCCTTTTCATCCCTCCGTCCTTAACTAAAACTCCTCGGGTCAGTTCAGATAAAACGTCTCCATTAACCTCCTGGAAATATTTTGGTGTCCAGCTCATTTAAATCATCAATCACGAGGATGTCTGAGCGTGTTCTCAGTCATCCACTGAGCGTAAATCAAACCGTTAAAACAGATTTACAGGCCCCGCTGCCTCCAGGCTCGATCCACCAGCCGCTCAGTCAGGACACATGAAAGTTAAAACAAGCCGCCGAGTTCCTCCAGATCCAGGAGACAGAATCTGAAACACTGACGTTCAAACAGGAAGTTGAATAAACAACCGGACGTCACAGCTTCATTTTCAAACGTGTCCGCAAATCAATAATTAAATGTTGCTGACATCACATGTCTCTGTGACCTCTGACCTCTGACATGAAGCTTGTGTGACTGTGTGTGCGCGCGTTCCTCCTCTGGACTCCCTGAACGGATCTGTTCTGTTTTTTCAGGGCGGTTCTGATCAGTCTGCGGATCTTAGCCAACATTCTGGTTCTGCTGTCTTTAGCCGGCAGCATCTACATCATCTACTTCGTGGTGGAACGGTCCCAGAAACTGGAGCAGGAGAAACCGGAGCTGACGCTGTGGGAGAAGAATGAGGTAGAGGAGCAAAACAGACCGGACTGAGCTTCAGAACCAGAACAGGTCCGCTCCATCTGACCAGCTTCAGAACCAGAACAGGTCCGCTCCATCAGACCAGCTTCA